GGACAAGAGGGGTGTGGAACAGGTATTAGAAATCAGTAATATTAAGGAAAAATGAAAGTTAAAAGAAACACTATGTATGTACTAGTATGCATATGATGTCTATAAAACCAAATCACAGTTTGGTTTTCCTCCACATGGTGATGTAAATTAAATACATTCACTATTGTACCACAGAATAGATCTTACACATGCAAAAGAAAAAGGTAGTTCAGCTAACCTTTTAAGGAGCCCAAAAGTACAAGCCTTTTCACATACTCATTACAAACCCAAAACTCTTGATCACTTTAAGAACTTTTAAGAATTATAATTGTATATTTCTTACCTATCCTTACATCATTTCTCTCTGCCCAACTTACTTGATCTGAAATGAATTGTTGGTGCCCCGATGATCGAGGTCATGGCACAAACAGGCAACAAGCAGAGCCAGGCACTCAAGTTCACCCAGCACCTTCCACCACTGGGTAGTCTGAAATGGATGAGAGTTTTAGCCCTCTTTTCTTTGTTTTCTCTCATTTTTGCTTTTTTTGACATTTGTATGAGTAGGTTACCAATCCCAACGTAAATTATAAATTCTATTTGCAGGTAACCAATGTATGAAAAACTGAATTACACAGAGAGAGAAAGGAAGACAGGGAAGAAAGGAGGGAGGGCAAGAAGAAGAGACAAAAAGTGGGGAGGCAAGGTAAGAAAGGCAAAACATATTTCCATCAAAATCCTTACTGTAATGATGGCAAACATCATCTGTGCAACATTGAATGCGTGCCGCCAGTTGTGATATGTGACATTGCGGTAGTTCTTCTTGACACTCAACAACCAACGACATAGGACTTCATATTCTATGTGGAACCTTCCTATGAGGTCCAAATCAAGGAACATCCTAAGGCAAGCCTGTAAGATACAAACCACTATTGTAATTTTATTCCTCCTTCATATTTATAAAATATACTTAGTCATAGAAAAAAGGATTACAGAGCCTTGTTTTTTGGTTTAACTGAATATTCAACACTAACCTTTAAACTTCCATCATCATCTAAGCTAAAGTCATCAAACTTGAAATCATACAATCTGAAGGCCTGAGCTGAGGGTATCTTCACTTTCTGGAATAAAAGAAAAATATGAATAAACACACACGTCATTTCAAGGCAATCATTCTGTATTGATCACAATTAAGCCAATTTGTGGAAAAAAATTCAATGTGGGCAAGTTGACAGGCGAAAATCCAATTTACCATTAGTTTCAGTGCATCTTCTCTTGGAGCTGCAGCATGGTAGCTAAGTACTTCTAGCGTAACTTTCTGCTTGGCCATTGCTATCACAGCCTTTTCATACCTGATGGATGAAAAAAAGGTCAGAGCTAAGAACAGAGCAAATCATAAATTTTGGACCAATAAATACACCAGGAGTATGATACGAAGGGAGTGAGGCAGGACTACTCTACAAAACGAAGAAAAAGCAAAACAACTATTTGGCTCTTACATCCGTGTGTTGTGAATGCCCATCCCACAGAAGATGGCAAAGGCCTCTAGGAAATTCTCATCATTGGTGGTAAAGGGAAGGTTGTCGAATTTGTTGATTAGCTGGACAACACCCACAATTTTGCCTGCCGTATTTCTGATGGGCATGCACAAGATGGAACGATGCCGGAAGTTAGTGTGCTCGTCTACCGACTGGTCAAATCTGGAGTCCTGATAGGCATCTGGTATGCACACTGTCTGTTGATGGATAAAGGATGATTAAGAATATTTGAGCAATAAGGTTGATGTGCATTTTTTTTATAGCTGAAAAGAAAGTAGTAAAGTAAAAAGTATATAATAAATTGAAATAACAGCTTTCTAAGTCAAGTCTCCATTTTTTAATTAAAGGCTCCAAGTTCCTTAGTATTTGGAATGGTTCTGGTGTGGCTGTCTGGCATGGACAAATCTCTCCTCCATACCTCCCCTGTGGTGGCAACATGGCCTGTGATGCCAATGTTGATGGGGAAGCGTGACTCAAACGGACTCGTACGGGTCTCAGCATCCTTTCCCTGCAGATCCTTCACCTCCAAATCAAACACTCGTGAAAAGGTTCCCTGAGATGCTTCATGCACCAAAAGGATCTGAGGTGGGAGACGAAAAGAGAGCAAGTTAAGGTAACGGGTTGAGCATTGTACCCAACCTTATATCTAAACCTACAAATAAGCTACTCTGTTCTACACACAGTCAAAGGAAGAAATAACCTTCCCTGTTAACACAAATGCATAGATTTGTGTATGGTGTCACAGCAGATCAACTTAATAATTTATCTGCTCAATAAAGAAATCACATGAATGCAAACTCACCTGCACACGTTCACATTGCAGTAAACTCTGTGTATGTGTCATGATGCGGTAGACCATCTGTTCTATTGTACTTTGCTCCTCAAAAATGATTCGTGCAAGGTCCAGCATCACCTGTGAATAAGTAAGTACATGTAACATTTTACAACTTAACAATAATTCAAAATTGATAATGTCAAGTACATTG